TAAAGGAGCTTCTAGAGAGAGAAGGGAGAAAATTGAAATCTTTGGAACGGGTGTTTTTTGGCCAGAAACCTGTGGTGATAAACAACCCCCCCCTCCCCCCCCCCCCCCCCAACGCATAGTCCCTCATCATTGTAAAGTAAACCATGGATCTTCTCTTTAACACTCATCTCATCTCCATATAGATGGCGAAGAAACACCCAACTTTCAAAATAGAAGAAATACACAACTTGCAAAATACCTTTTTTTTTTTTGAGAAAATCTCATATTATCCCATATTTTTAACTTCTATATCTCATCAAGCTCAAGAATTGAAAATATTACTTGTAAGCAAAATGACTCTATCTTTTCTATCTTCCTACGCTCTAAACCTTTTTGACCACGTATTATTGACCTTAACAACTTATAAAATGACTCTATCTCTCTCTCTCTCACATCATCATTTTTCTCTTTGAAAACTATATCTCTCTCTAAAACCCAACCTCTATGTCTCTCTCAAAACTCTCTCTCTCTCTAAAACTCAAATCCATCTCTCTCTAAAACCCAAACTCTATCTCCCTCGTTCTCTAAAGCTCAAATACATCTCTCTCTAAAACCCAAACTCTATATCTCTCTCTCTGTCTAAAACTCCATCTCTCTCACACGCATAAGGTGTGCTCGTGTTCGAGCTCAAGCTAAACCCCTTGGCTAGTAAACTCACCGAGAAGCGAAGAGAGAGAAATGGAGTTTTAGAGAGAGAAAAAGAGAGCGAGATAGAGTTTGAATAGAGTATCATTTTAGTGTTTCTTTAGGTAAAAAATTTATGGTCAAAAGGTCCAGGGGTTGTAAGATAGAAACGATGGAGACTTTTTATTTACTAGTAATATTTTCAATTCTTGAGTCTCATAAAATATGGAGGTTAAAAATAAGGCATAAGGAGATATTTTCCCTTTTTTTTCTCGGGTAAAAGAGCTTCTAGATAGAGAAGGGAGAAAATCAAAATCTTTGGATGGGGTCTTTTTTGGCAGCAAAATTGTAGTGATAAACCCCCCAAACGTATTCCGTCATCATTGTAAACCATGGATCTTCTCTTTAACATAGAACGAACTTAGGGAAGGCAGCCTCATCACTGTAAACCATGGATTTTCTTTTAACATAGAACGAACTTAGGAAAGGCAGCAAGGTAACTGTTCCTTGACAGACCATGGAAAAACAATCCATAGAAAAGATCAAAAGATATGCGTCTCCTAATGGGATGGTTGCATTGTTGGACACTTTGCTAAAATCCCTTTTTACTGAAATGGATGGTCCAGATGTGCCAAGCTGATGGAAAGCTTTTGCAATTGTAAAATGGTGGAGATACTCCAAAAACCATCATGATCACAATATGAACAGGGGAATTCTCGATGACTCGTAGATACAGAGAGTAACAGGTAACACGAAATCAATACGCCAGGCCACCATGCTCTTAACATTGCATCAAAAATTTGTTTCAGACAGAATTCAGGGGGGAAGATTGCCCCCTCATGAGTGATCAAAACCTGAAAACCTTATTGGGTTTTTCTAACTAATGGAAAGATCAAGACCCATTACAGTTTCAATGATTGAGAGTGAGAAAATGAAACCGATGGTATGAATAGAGTGAGTCCTCTCAAAAGGAATAACGAAAGGAAGGCTGACTAAGTTCTACAACGGCCAAAGGAAAGGGTACGAACAAACTCCCTGAATTCCTTAAAAAATCTTCAGAGAAAGATGCCTCTTTTTGAGCAAGTTATGAAAAAAAGTAGGGCCTGCACACCCTGTCAAATAAGAAAATATCAGCAAGGTCTTTAATCAGAGTCTGGTCAACCAAAGATAGAATCGACAGTGGAGTTACGGGAAAATCCTGTGAAATCTGAGGGCAACAATCGTCCTGTAGGGAACGACCTTTTCTTGCGCTGAATTGATGAATTAAAGGAGCTGGATGAGTTGGATTCAGAAGATCCCACAGATGGCAATAATTTGGACTTCCCACGTGCTAAGGACACTCTGTGAGCCACTTCTCGAGTTAAGATTGGAGGTGCAGGATGAGCGGGTCGAGGTTTCTTAATGGCAGGTTTCTTGAGAACTTCAACACAAGATTCATAAGCTTCTTCATGAATCTCTATCACAGGATCTTGAGGCCAAGAAACTTGTTGAAAAGGAAACTAGTTCTTGAGTGACCAAACTGGAGTGGTCAAATTCGTTAGGGATTGTTGATACTGGAAATTGTTTGTGGAAGAGTTATAGAAAATCAATTGAGACAGAACCTCACTCTGATACCATGTTAGAATTCGTGGGAGCATACATACATAGACATTGAATGGAGAATGGAAATAGAACAGAACACGACTTATTTATGTGTTTCAGACCGAAGCCTTATGTCCATGTATCCAAAAGTCAATGGCTGCATCTTCACTATTTTGGATCACACAATTAGAGGAGATAATTATGGTATAATAACTTGATGACTAAATAACTTGATCTCTATCTTCCAGATACTTAACCTTATCAAGAGATATATATCCATACATCCATAATGATGTATATCAATATGAACCCACCGAAGCCATGGATCCAAAAGTCAATGGCTGCAACTTCACTATTTTGGATCACACAATTAAAGGAGATAATTATGGTATAATAACTTGATGACTAAATAACTTGATCTCTATCTTCCAGATACTTCACCTTATCAAGAGATATATATCCAAATATCGATAATGATGTATATCAATATGAACCTGAGATATCCATATCTCAACAAACCTATCACATGTCTGGGTGTTTGTTATCCATTATATTTATAACTCATTGCAATAGATGGACATCTTTGACTCAAATTTATAGGTGGAAAAATGAAGTGTATAATAATTTTGGACCATTTGATTGAATAGAGGGAAAACAAGGGTATGATATTTACAAGTAAATAAATCTAATGTCTAATAGTTAATATCGACAAAAAATATAAAATTTAGAAACATAAATCTGCAATCATTTTTTAATAAAATTAAAAAATATATAAATAAATTCATACTTGTAATGTGAAATAGTGGATAAAAAGACTTGAAAATAGATTTTGAAATGGTATGAGCTTGTGCTATTTTATTTTATTTTTAAATATTTGATAAGCGAGTAATGATCAATGAAGCAATCTTAATATTATTTTTTATTTTTTTAATATCCCATGTGCTATTATTATTGTTTTTTATATTCCCTATAAGCTAATTTATTCATTAGTCATTGCAATAGAAAAAACAAAGAAGAATAGTGCCATATCGAAGAAATGTGGAGAGCAAACGGCAATATAAAATAGGTGCAACCTTAAACAATCCAATTAAGATGCACCTTAAAATTTTATCATAACATATAATTCAGTTA